GTTAAGTCACGTCAACATTTTATATTACTATTCATTTTTATCTTATTATCTTAATAAAAAAAAACAAGAAAAAATTAGAATCTCATGCACTTTTCTAATACTCTTTAGATTAAATATTGGTTCTATTTTGAAATTTGATTGGGACGCCTAAACAATAACCATGTCAGCATTTTTATATTTATTTAGATTACATGTAATTATTGTGTTTTTTTTTAATTTAAAATGTTAATTATTAAATTCCATATATATCCTTTTAGGTTGATATATTTCTGTACGTGGCCTTTTTTTTAGGAAGCTAGTTTCTTCTCTCACGTTTGAGCGGTATGGTTTCTTCTTCCACGTTAAAATTCTATGATCCTCATTTTTGAATTTTGAATGGACTTATCCATTTCAATTAGTGGTTGTTTTCACTATTTTATATTGATATCATGTGAGATAATTAGACGTATTCTCTATTTTCAGAGGCTTAGGGCTGGTACATTCATATAATATATTTAAACGTACCGAATACGTCCCAAGAAGATATATACATTAACATACCAAATATGTTTTTTTTAAATAAATATAAATGTACCAAAATAATATATAAATGTACCAAATACATACAAAAAAAAATATGAACGTACCAAATACGTACCAAGAAGATATATAAAGTAACGTACCAAATATGTACCAAGAAGAAATATATGTTTAATCAAGAGGAAATATATGTACCAAATATGTTTTGTTTTAAATAAATATAAACGTACCAAATACATACAAAAAAGAAAACAAACATACCAAATATGTACCAAGAAGATATATTAAGTATCGTATCAAATATGTACCAAGAAGAGACAACGTTTCATATGTAATTTGAAAGACTTTTTATTAAAATTATATACTACAATATTTATCTACAAGATCTAAGGAGTTTTGAGATATTATCTAAGAAAATTAAAAATATATTAAATATAATGGCAAGTCGCATTTATGTGTATTTTGAAAGACTTTTTATTGGAATTAAATTCTACAATATTTATCAACAAGATTTTAGGAGTTTTCATGTATTATCTAGGAATTAAAAGGTATATTTATATAATGGCAAGTTGGGTAATTTAAATTATAAAAAAGGCTACTTCTATTGGCACCTAAATTGTAGGAAGATGTTTAATCAAAATTCTAAAAGGCATAAATGTTTAATCTCAAAATTTCAGAACCTATGCATCTGTATCAAAACTCCCCAAAAAACAATATAAAATGTTCACGTGATTTAACCGTGACCACACAAAATAGGAGGACACGAGAGAGCACCGGAAGTGAGAGGGCAAATAATCCTTGCCCACAACGCATAATGGTATAACAACTCCAGCAGATGCAGAAACAAAACCGTCCTTTGATACTCCAGCACGGTGAAACCTGATCGTGCTGCAATCTCAGTCATCATATTCATCAAGTACCATCCTTGAGTTGACTATTGGAGATATCTAACTTCCTTAACAACGAAAGACCTGTAAAATCAGGCAGTGATCCAGTGAACTGGTTTTGAACTACTTACGTTGGTGAATTCAATGTACAATTCTTTCAAGGATGAAAATCTTGTAAGGTTATCAGGAAATGAACCCGAAAACGGGTTCTCACTTAAAGACAAGTACTCGAGGGTGTCTTGAGCACAAGACAAGTCTTCGACAGAGTCTTCAAGTCTGTCGGAAAGTTTGTTTTCCTCTAAACTCAACCACTCTAAACTGCAAAGGTTTCGAAACGATTTCGGTATCCCGCCTTCAAGTGCGTTAACCGAGAGACCAAGAGACACGAGAGAAACCATGTTTGCAAACACATCCGGGATGGGACCTTGCAACTGATTACCAGCTAAACCAAGGTGAACAAGGTTGGTGCTGACATTGGCCATCCAATAAAATATCGAAAGATCAAGAAAATTTTCCGAGAGTTCAAGGACTTGAAGAGAGTTTGAAGAATTGACAAAAGAAAGCGAACTCAGTTTGACATTGGGAAGATGACACGAAGATAACTGAAGCTCAACAAGTGAAGGGAGTTTGCTTATAGATTCTGGCCAATTTACAACCTCAGAAAAATTCAGACCCGTCATATTCAAGTAACTCAAAGAAGAAAGATGAGATAAACACTCGAGATTTTCGAATGTGACATCGTTCCATGCAAGATCAAGAGTATACAAACTAGAGAGATTTCCGAGTTGGGGAGGAATTGGTCCGCTAAGATTGGCACCTGCTAGTTTGAGTTGCTCCAATCGACTCAAAGAACCGATGAACTTGGGAATTTGTCCTTGGAAATTATTGAAACTGAGGTCCAAGTTAGATATGGCAATTCAAGTAGAGAAGGAGCAATCACACCAGTTAGTGGAGGAGTTTCAACACTAGGAATATCAAAAAAATTGAGATAGAGATGACATGACATGTTTCATTACTGCAAGCGATTCCTCTCCACTCGCAACAATCCTTGCCGGTTTCCCAAGAGGCAAGAACGTTGTGCTCGTCGACGAGGCCATGTTTGAACTGAAGCAGAGTGGTTTTTTCTGTTTGTAAGCACCTGATGTTGGAACTGATTCCAGCGCCCAGACAGCATTTGGCAGATGTAAGAGCGAACAAGACAGAATATATGATTGTGAGCAACATGGTTTGTGAAATGGTGAATTGAATTGTATGTGGATTTGGGAGCGAAAAGCAAGAGATGTTGCCTTATAGATTGATCCCTTGTTGTCGTTCTGTGGACGTTGAGAAAAACAAAGCAAAGGGGAGGAAAAGTGGTAGAGAAAAAGGAGGGAAAGAGGTAAAGAAAGGGAAAAGGGGATGAGGATCCCTCTTCGGATCTTCGCATACCATCCGTTCATCGAACATCCTACAGTCAGAAATCATTAGATACTGCTTGTATTTAATTTTAAATAGAAAAATTAAAATAATTTATGGTCACATGTACGATGAAATCCTCCTCGTCCAAGAAAAGGAGGGAAAGTTGTAGAGAAAATGTGGAAAAAGGGATTGGAAGAAGAAAAGAACAGTGGTGGGGACATGGATTGGAGAAAGACTTCATACATGAAGGAAGGGAAAGGAAGAAGAAAAGAATGGCGATTGGCGCATGGATTGGAGAAAGACTTCATACGTGTTGGGAAAGTAAGAAGAAAAGAATGGTGGTGGGGTCATGGATTGGAGAAAGACTTCATACGTGAAGGAAGGGAAAGGAAGAAGAAAATATGGCTACTTCGATAACGTAGGCATATTTTGTCGAACCTTGTAAATATCGTATTCCATAAATCCATTTACATTTTCTTACTGTTAATTATATTTCATATAGCCTGCGCAAAATCTATTCCAATACAGACCATTAGAATAAGATGAACTAGAGAATTACATGAAATTGCACTTGGAATATTGAGCGGCTGGAACTATTACACCATAATAAATTAATAATTGAAGTTAATTACGCATTTTCGTGTGGAAAAATTAAAATGCCGGCAATGCGTGTTTGGTTTCAAATCAACGCGGAATGTGATGGCCAGAGGTGAAAGGGATGTAGCTAGTTTTAATACCTTTTGCTTACAAAAAGGAACTGAAAAAGTCATTGTGTTCCATTTGATATAATATGAGTCTATGACTATAGGTTTGTTCTTAAATCAATGAAAAAATGGGAGTTTCAATTGGAATAATAAGGTGGATTGAGGTGCTTTGTCCACCTCTTTTTTCCTCCTATTTTTATGGATCTCTTATTATAATGATTTAAGATTTTTTATTTTTATTAAAATATTTGTTTTAGTAAATTAAATAGAATGCCGCAAAACTTGTTGTTAGGTACATTTGAATTTTCGGTTCATTTGGCTTATTGGTACATTTGAATTTTTGATACATTTAGTTTTTGGTACATTTGAATTTTTGGTACGTTTGTTTTCAAAGCATAACTTTTATTACTTTTTGTCCTAATAATGAGGAATTACTTTAATTAATTATTTTTTAATAGAAAGAGTCGTTAACAATGTAAAAGTTTATATTACTTTAATTAAATTTTTTTTCAAAATTATATGATTTATCATTATTATTTAGCATTATCTACAATAATAAAGATTTATTTCCGATCAACTAAAAGTTGTTCCATAGACTTATCTACCAAAAAACAAGACTATCTAGAGCATTGTGTATGAATCAAACATATTTTTAAACATTCCAAAAAGATGAATATTCATTTTAATATAGTTTATAATTGGATACGTTTTAATTCGGGGTTGGGACGTTTTCGTTTGACGTTGGTACGTTTTCGATTAATGTTGGCATGTTTCCTTTTGGCGTGGGTGTACATTTAGATTTGAAAAGTTTAAATTTTTAGACTTAAATATAGTTGAAATTATTTAAAATATATGACAGATATTTAAATGTAAATTAATTTCAATTAATCTGAAGCAGTTTAAATCTGAGTATCTTAATCAAATGTTTCAAAAGCTTAATCAAAAACTCAAAAAGCATAAATGTTTAGTCTACAAAAGTCTAAAATGAGGCATCTAATTCTAATTTTCTCGATTTTTTAAAGGGTCAGGTGTTATTCTAATCTACAGTGAGACGAATTCGAATATGAGCTCAGAGGACAATTTATTTTGATTAACTGGTCCAATCTGCCACTTGTTTTTAACTTCTTGATCCAAACTATCAAAACTAGAGACGGATGCACATTGAGATCTAGGTGGTCCTAGGACCATCTGGAGTTCAAAAAGTATACATGTGAAGGTCTTCTAAAGATCTTTTGAATGTTTTAGACTGGTCTCTTTGTATAAAAATAAATAATAAAAATAAAAAAAAATAAAACAAACTTGAACCTCTAACATTGGGACCATCCAAGATTTGAATTTTGAATCCGCCGCTGATTAAAACGATTGGTTTTAACCCGACGAACAGACCATTAAAATAAGTTGAATTGAAGAATTACACGAAATTGCACTTGGAATATTAAGCGGCTTGGTACTAGCACACCGTAATAATTGAACATTCAGGCCAAAAAACAAGGGGATGAACGTTGGTATATAATGCGATAGAACTGCTCCAAAATCTTCATCAGTTCAACCTCTACAATCCGGAAATCGATAGTCGGGGGCAATTGTGGGACCACCATTTGTAGGATGATGACCCACGCTGCATCTAAGGTCCAACAGTTCGGAGGTGACCTTTCCTGTCCACAGGAGTCCCTTACACAATGTACACACATATCACTAATCCAAATTCTACTGCAGGTTTAAGAAAAATGGATGATTTCACCACTTCTGTACTCAGCACGGTGAAACCTGATCATGCTGCCGTAACTATACGTAAATCTCTGACATGCATGCTACAATGGATAATGGTATAACAACTCCAGCTGAGTCGGAAACTAAACCGTCCTTCGACACTCCAGCACGGTGAAACCTGATCGTGCTGCAATCTCAGTCATCATCTTCATCATCAAGTACCATCCTTGACCTCCTTCTGCTTACACCACTCACTGGCAATGTACCTACTTCATCCTCCGATTCTGCCAAATCAGTGTCCATGTCCTGACGTAGCAAATCCTCCAAATTTTTCACAGGTCCAACATCTAATGCATTACCACTGATGGTGCCTGTGACTTCAGCTTGTTCTGTGCCATTCAGACTAGCACGTTTGGCAGCAGCACCTACGTCAACTTCATTTTCCAAAACACTGCCGCTTTCTGTTCCCTGAATCGAGATGGATTCGGAATTTTGATCCATGGACTTGGAAAGGGATCGCCTAGTTTTCCTATATCCAAAAGAACAATTTTTTTATTAGAAAAATGGTTACCTTACGTACACAATCAGAATCCTATGACTAATTATTCGAATTCTTCTTTTTCGTTTTTTTTCTCGGGGGAGGTTTGAACATGGGAGAGAGGGAAGAGATTTACTTGAGAACAGAGCTTAGGATTTCATCATCAGAATCATCTTCCAACGCTTCTCGTCCCGCAGTCTGTTCTAGCAACTCCTTGCTACCATCCTTTTTGCCCCTAGAAGTTCAAACAATATGTTGTCAGACAGGTATTTACACATCTATGTATGCATGCGTGTGTAAAGAATAAAGATGGAACCAACATGAGTTTGGAATGTACAATACACATTCCTACAACTTAATTTGGAATATGGAAACCGAACTGAATAATGAATTTAATAACCTTATATTGTAAGGTTTACATAAAGATGTTGGAGTCTGACATATGCAGTAAAATGCCAAAATACTGAAAACTAAGATGGACATACTAATCATTGACATTTACCTTTTCATTAATGAAAACAACGTTTCATCATCTGAGTCGTGCATTTTGTTTGCATTAGAGTCGCTATGATCCTCATCCTTCAGCATGCCACCTGAAGGCCTCTTCTTCCGAGGAATATGCAAACCAAGCTGCTTAAGCTTACGAGAAACTTGAGGAGCTGTGAATTTCCCATCTCCATCCATCGCATTTGCGATCATATGGCTGCACTTCTTATGGTCTTTAAATCTGGGAAGATCAAAGAGAGCAAATTTTTCTTTAATACAATATAACAGTAAACTTCCATCATCTACTTTTCTTTAGCAATCCTTCAGCATTTATCAAGTGAGAAGATGTCAAATCTCATATTTCCACCAAGCCACCAAGTAATACTCACTGCTCATACAAAGCTCTGATATTAGCTTCCTGATCTTCACTGAGGGCACGGACCCTTTTTCTTGCTAGCCTATAAAAATATCAAGGTGAAATTAATTAACAGCTGGAGCAGCGAAGCAACACAAACAAAACCAGCACACATTAAGATTTGTCACGAAATGAATGGCCAATTGACAAAATACTTACAAAGGCTGGCTTTTTGATTCAGAATGAGTGTTAACTGCTTCCTCTACTCTTCCATCTCCACCAATTTGACTAGGCCCAGTGGAAACAGATTCCTGAGCTTTCCGAATTCTTTTCCTTCGTGCAACTGTCAGCCCTAGCTGTTTAAGCTTGTTGGAAATTTGAGCTGATGAAACTTTACCATCAGGATCAAGAGCTTCCGCAATAAGATGACTACAATTCTGGTCATCCTTGAATCTAGATTGGCCATATTTGTTAGGAACTTAGGATAGATTTCAGTAAAGCTGGATTAAGAAAGTAGATTACTAAAACAAAATTGGCACAACTCAAATTATGAATGCACGTCATGGCCAATGCTTTTTATATTATTATGTTTCGGCTGATATCAGGTCTACCATGCCAAGTTAAAGGCTCCATAAAGAAGAAAAAAGATCTTGGATCAAGGAACCATACTTCTCATACAGATCCTTAATTTTCATCTCCAGTTCAGCTCCAATAACAAGTCGCTTGTTTTTAATAGAAACCCTCTCAGTTTCATTCTCTATGGACTTTCCCTCACTGCAACAGTTAAATGCATCAAGGTCTCATTAAGATGACAATTTATAAACAATATTAATCAAGTTGTAAGTATAAAGGACGTACTTGTCATAATTAGCTTGCCCATCAATCTCATTATCTGAAATAGATGCAGTACCTCCCTTCGCTTTGTCAGAATTTTCTCCATCACTGTAAGAAAAAAGAAGGCATATTCGTTAGCTCCTCTTGCAGTATCTCATCCATTCAGAAAATTTTGTACTTTTTTTTGTCCCTTTGGTAAACTTGTTTCGCAAAATTCATTCATATATCACAATTTCCTGCTTAATAGAGGAATCAGAAACATGTCTTACTTCTCATATCCAAGGTCATGAGGGAGAACGACGTCAGCTTCATCTTCACCAAGTGCATCTGCTATGCTTCTACTTGTCCATCCTTTGTCCAGTGACTGACCAATTTCGTCATCCCCTAAACTGTTTGCCCAGTTTCTAGTTTCTTTCTTCAAATGGCCAAGCTCTTGCAATAAATACTCAGCATTAATGTAATGGCATTCTTTGCGAGTTTTCCAGAAGAGAACTTCCACAAAAAGAAGGGGTTGATTTTTCATTTTTTTAAGCATTTTTCTGACCAAACTTTTCAAAAAATCGACAATATTTTCAAACGCCTTGCATGGACATGACTTCTGCTCAGCTAGAATGTCATAGAATGTAGTGAGGAGTGATAACTGCAAAAGTTTTTCCATGAAAACTTTGGATGAGAAATGAACTTGAAATTGCTACTTAAAATTGTATAAAGTTGATGCATAAAGTTTCACCTGATACAACATCGGAGAGAGCCCCAGGTCATCACTGATCTTTGAAGCATGCTAACTATGTAGTGATTTGTACTGGTTGAGTTAGTCTTATAAAACTTAAGCAACCAACACAACTTCTGGATGATGCTGTGGCTTGCAAAAGCAGAAATCAAAGTTGACACCTTAAAATCAACTTCATCAGTTGCAGCTACCTGCTCATCAGCAGAAGAATCGCCTGTGCCATAACCAAGATCGCCATTGACATGGTCAGAATCTCTGCGATCGATCTGTGCCAGACTTTCAATTTTTTCTGTCTCCAACAAAGATATTTTGCATTCATCAGGCTGATCAGGGATAATGGTGTCTTCTTTCCCATCAGAAATTGTGTTTAGGCTTCTGTTCTCTGTCACATTCACATCTGTTGATTGCTCTTCATTGGAGATGCCAATCTCTTTTTGAATGGTAGCATGTTCTTCTAAGAGTTTATTTTCTGTTTCCTTCTCGATCGGTGCTTTCTTCTTCCTCACTTTCCTAGATTTTTTAGAAACCTTAATCATAAAAGGAAACTGGTTTTAGTAGTGACTTTTTTTTTTTTTCAAATGGTTTTAGTAGAGAGACAATAATATTTTCCCCCTTTCCCCCATCCAAAATTATGAATGTTACATACCCTCAAGGTTCCGCCTGCTTGAAGGTTTTCCATGAGCCGTAAAACTTTATAAACCATCTCTATCAAATCTGCAAGATCACTGACAAAGAAAACTTGTGAATATGAAATAAAGGCATTCAAACAACAGAAAAAAAAAATGTAATTAATTTTGGAATAACTTGCTTTTGATCAAAGACAAATGGATATTAAATCTCTTTTTCCTTGTACGTGTTTGAACAGTAGTATGTTAAGGGCCCATGTTTCTTGATCGTCGGGGAAAAGTCCTACCCTGTAGAATGCTGAATCATCTCCCTTTCTTAAAGATTGCATATCCAAAATTGGATGCCCAACAACAAAGAAAAAAAAATCCTCTAATCCTTTGTTAAAACTCTCTGATACTGACACAACCACTAAAGAGAACCTCTCAACGGGATTTCAAACGGTGAAAAATCATATTTGGAAATTTAAAAAAAGCGTGCATGTGGATACAAAAAGGAAAAAGTAGACCTTCTGGGTTGTTTGTAAGTGTCAAATGATTTGAGTAAATTTATGAGGAAGTGAGTCATTCCCTCATCAGTCTGATCATAAAATAATTTGTAGAGAAGTATGCGAGCTGTTTGAGGCTCCTTGGAATCTGCCGGCAATAACTTAAGCACCAAATCTAGCATGCGAATCTGGAAGAAAAATAAATTAGTTAAGCATGTTGCAAGGGCATAATTAAAATACAGTTCTGATCCCAACTTCACATGTCAATAACTTGCATAGAGCTTTCGAGATAATGGCAACTTATGATATGTTCTTCCAATGGGCCCCTAAAGTGCAATTGGTCCCTTTAAAAACTATGTACTTTTTTCCATCATTCGTTACACCAATGTCCCTTGCATGGAAAATAACTTAGGCCACAGAGAAGTGTTCATGGAAAGTAATGAAATAATTACCATATTTTTCATAAGAGAACCAGCTGCAGACAAAAACTTGTAGTCATGTGTTTCCTTCAAGCTATCATATGCATAACGCCACTTTGAAATGACTAGTTGAAACATAGATTCGTTCACTGATGCTGCAATGGGTCCACAAACATCACCTTTGAAGAATGTGCTATCAGCATCTTTATCAGTGGGAGCTTCAGTTGGATCTGCTTCTGTGCCCATGCTTGGCTGGTAAATCATAGACGATCCAGGAAAAACAATTCAAATTCTCCAACAAGAAATGTGACTTGAGTTTTGTGGTGAAATAACGCAAAATGACGACCACTGTGCATAATGGACTCATTATATCAGAAATACAATCTAAACCCTTTAGAATGGATAATGGAGAAAGGCCGTAGTTGCATTGATTAAATGGCGGGTTGGGGTGGATTGAGATGAGAAATATTGGTCCTTCTCTGTGCAAAAAGGTTAGTTTCTAAATTCTGAAAAATGAGTCATGTTTGCAGAAAGGTTTCATTTTGCAAAAAGTAATTACCATGTCCATTTAGGAAGCAACTAAACATGGTTATCCAACATAGCTTGTCTCACCTTAGAAATTGAAGACTTGTGATACTGGAAAGAAATAGCAAACTGAGCAACTTGAAAGAAGACAACAACATCACTCTTCTGAATTGAGGGGTGTTCCTTTTCAATATTCTCACGAATTGACTGCATCAGAACTGATAGACACGGACCACTTTGTAATTGTGCAATAGGACCATAATGGAACATCAAGGAAAACAAAGAGTGAACTAACATAAAAGAGGAACGAAAAAATGACATACCATTGTAACCCCCTGATAAAAACTGGTTTACAAAATCATGGAGCAATTCTAAAATCTTATCCTTTGTTGAAGGCAATGTCCCATGATCCCAAGCAATTTTTTTTACTGGACCCCGGGGATTATGTGGTTTAAGCATGGTTTTACAAGAGGTAGAAGTAGGCCTTCCCTTCAAAACTGCCACAGAACCATCCTGCCAAGGAAAGCCCATTATCATTAGAGAAGAACTAATAAGAAGTTAAAAAGCTCACTTGCATCCGTCCATAGTAAGACTCCCTACCATGGTGAGCTGGGTAAATGTTCCACTAAAATGTGAATGGCGACTCATGTTACGTAGTCTAGAAAGTCTTTTTTTCTCTTCTTCTTCTTCCTCCATTATGGACTTGAGACTATTTAGAGAAATAGCGGTGTTTCCATCCACCTAATAAATACAAGTAATCAAATGGACTATAAGAAAGTGGCTATCAACCACTGCAAGAATAATGGAAGTCGTAAGATTAAATCATTGAGCAAATAATTCAAAGCTCAAAAGTTCAGAATATTAAAGCAACAAAAGGAAAGAAATCTCATTGGTTTAAATTTGTACGTTTTGTGGCTCTATCTATGTCTCACATCAAATCTTCTTGTCAAGGTTTTGATTTAATTTCTACCATCATCTTATTTAAAATGCTTGCTAGCTCTGAACAAACCTCATTTTCCTTGGAAAGAATTCAGAAAGAGATGAAGAGAAACCAACCTTAGGACCCTTTGAATATGCGTTTGCAATCAATTCTGGTTCTTGACCCATGAATATGTAATGGAAAATTTCCAATAAAAGCAAGTTATCATGACAGAGATAGCAACGGGAATCACCAATATGCTGGGTTATGACTAAAACTATGTCCATCACGTTCTCATGAAATAAAAGTTCTAGAAATCTATCTCTGAGAGATACAAATTGAATGGCCATTCCTCCAGCCTTCTGCTGCTGTGAAATTTCTTGAACAGCTAAGATGTTTCGGAATAAAGTAAGTACCAGCTGCACCAGTTTCCAGTCATCCTCCGTGAATGCATCACTGCGCAGGATAAGACTAGTCAAGAAGCGATGAAGAAGATGTAATTTTCAAGCAACCAACGATGCAGAAGATGAAGCATATGTAATCTTCTCACCGTTCCAAATTTTCCAGTGGGCTTTCCAGAAGTGATACTATAACTGCAACAGTATCACTAGATGTAATCGAAGACTTCAACTTCCACAGAAACTCTATCTGTTGCAAAACATCATTCGACGAAGGCTCAACTGGCATAGTTAGGAACACCAGAACCTTCACTGCAAATTCAAAAAAATAATTAAAGTCGTCCCTTTGGAATACGTTTTCATAAACATGTAATGAAGAGAGAAAAACGATTTTACCTGCATTCAAAACCAAGTTGGTATCAGCTTGGCAGTGTTCAATGATAGGTACCAAATGCTGATCTACAATATTCCATTTACAGACTTGCTTAAAAACATCCCGATTCTGCGGGTCATCACGCCTCAAAAACCTTAGCAAATCTTTCAGATTATCTGTCGATAACAAAGAAAAACAAATTTCATATCTGCCACTTGACTGGAGAAAATAACATTCCCAATCGACATCGTTTTCATCTAATCAATCGAGACCATAGATTCCTCGTGCATTCAAGCCAAATACAAATAATTAAGAAAAAAAACACCCATTGAACGTTTGGAATTAACAAAAAAAAAAAATCGAATTTAAAAAAAATTAAACGGAAGAAAAATGATGCAACTTAGCCCGGTGGAGTTTTACCTTCAAAATTAACCCATTTCCAACTATCAATAGTAAGTGAAATATATAATTCCCCCCAAATCTGCCCTAGTTTCGCAATCTACTCCAACCAAAATTGCTTCAAAGTCAATTTAACTACGAAATTTTGAAATCCAGACTAAACATCTTCCATTTCCAGCATTTTCTCGGTATCCAAACAGAGATTTCTCGAAGAAATAGATAACGCACCTAAGCAGTACTTGCCCTTGGAGTAGCCGATCCGGTTGCCATTGTCATCTTCTTCTGCAATCCCCAGATCACAGCATATTACCGATAAGCCTTCCAAGTCCATCTTCCGTGAAACGGTACCGTTTTCAAACGAGGGTTGGAGAGTTTGGGATTTCTGGAGGAGATGAGGAGTGGAGGAATTTGGCGCGAGAGCGATCAGATCTCCGAGAAAGGGTTCATTTTGAGGGTTTTGGTGGCGCCAATTTCAACGTGATTTTCCCGCGCTCCTCAGGCGTGGCCAAGGTTTTTTTTAGCTGATGTGGCCATTTAGGTGTACAGGTGTCAGCTGATGTGGCAATCGTATATAGGATCTTCTTTGTAAGAATTTCGGAGATTCTCCAATTACATATGTTCATCGTATATCGTCCGGTCAGTTTTTATCAAGTGCTGTATATATTCAATTTTAAATATAAAAAAATTTCACAAAAAAGATCCAACGAGGATCCTCTTGATAGGTGAAAACCATTGATTTTTAAAAATTATTTTTCTAATAATGATGAGTAGAACAATTACCTATAAGCACATGTAAGGTATCTTTTTTCTTCGATGTGTGATTCAAACTGTCAACACTCTTCCTCACGTGTGCCCATTGGACTTTATATGTAAAACAACTTGCTTTGATACTATAAAGAAAGTTGAGATTCCATCATAAAATCAATTGGTAATATGAAAAACAACCCAACTATTTATAACCACATATAAAGTCCCTTCTTTTCTCGATATGAGATTCAAACTCTCAATAGTCATGTTGAAAATTACATAGATTGATAAATAATTATGCGTGGATTTAAATTTGTCACGTATTGTTATAAATCTAGACAGAGTTATACAAAATAATTTCTCAAAATAAGAATGTATAGATAACAAATTCACCACATATGACATTCGTGTCCATTAGTGTAAAGTCATGCAAAGAAAAATATATTACTACATTAGAACGCAGGTAATAGTGAATCGAAATATCATGTGACGATAAACTTAGCTATGCGAGTTGCTCAACTGGCAAACCAGCCCAGCAGCCCGCATATGCGGAAGCAGCACTGTTTGTCCAGAACAGGCCCAAAGCAGTCTCGTGACCCGCCCGTTCCCCTTTCGAGACAAACTCCGCTTGGAACGAAGGCAGTTGAGCAACTTGTACTTCGCCGCTACTTCCTTCGATGCAAACAAAGCCCTTCCAAACTCTCTGTCTGTCTCTTTCTCTCTCTCTCTGTGGCGCCTCAAAACCTCCGCCAAAAGTAGCGGCGACTTCCACAACCTCCCCCACGTCCTTTTAAATCCCTCGGCCAGTCACTTCACCCTCACCATTGTCCTCTCAGAACCTCCGCCAAAAACCCGAATCTCTCCCTCTCTCTTCTTTCTCTCTCTTGTCTCTCCTAAATGTCGCAGGTGGTGGCTATGCGGGCGATTCAGAGCTCGATCCTCTCTCCCACCTCTGAATCCGCACACCGCCGCGCCGCCTTCAAGCTGAAGCCATCGACGAGCTTTGCATACAAAGTTATGGCCTTTGAGGAGAAGCAGAGGGGATGGAGCTGGAGACTGTTTGGGAACAGGAGGTCTGAGATCACTGCGAAGCGTCCCCTTCAGACGGAGGTTGCTCCCGTCTCACCCGAAGACTCACCCAAGGTTCGTGCCACTACTCAAATCTTCCTTGTTCTTTGTTTGGACCTTGATGCGTTTGGCAATGCGGTCTAGTGGTATTCCTCCTTAGAGTTATTCCGAGGTCTCAGGTTTGATTCGTTTGGATGGAAAGTTCGATACTTTATTACGGGCTTAGCTGGAATCCCCCACCTTTGCGTAAAAAAGTATAATCTGTTTGGTTGCCGAGAAATTGTAGAAAAGAATGAGAAAAAATGAAACTTTTTGTTTTTGGATGTTGAATTGATAGTAGATAGGCTGATTGATAGATGTTTAGGGCTGTTTGGAAATGCTTTTATAGAAATCACTTATGCTCATAATCGCTTTTATTACAGTCACTTTGAAATTTTCATTTAAAGTTCCAAGTGCTTTTAGAATGTATGCTTAGATTTGTTTAGTTTGTGTTGCTAATTAGATAGAGGAGCAGTGGAAGGCAATTCAGCAACTTGATGACCCAGCAGTGGGTATGTGGTCCAAGCCTGTTGTCAAACGTAAGACAAAGATTGTTTGCACAATTGGTCCTTCCACCAACACACGCGAAATGATCTGGAAGTTGGCCGAGGCTGGAATGAATGTTGCTCGTATGAATATGTCACATGGAGATCACGCGTCTCATCAGAAAGTTATAGACTTGGTTAAAGAATATAATGAGCAACATAAAGACAATGTAATTGCAATCATGCTGGATACCAAGGCAAGGCTCCCCTTATTGTTTGTATTTATTCCTTCGATATCAAGTCATTACATTAAATTGCTTATTTTTTACTATTTGGATATATATAGGTCATTCCATTGATGACATGTTGTTCTGTATCAGGGTCCTGAGGTTAGGAGCGGTGACTTGCCGCAGCCAATCAATTTGGAAAGTGGGCAGGAATTTACCTTTACAATCAAAAGAGGGGTTGGCACATCAGATTCTGTTAGCGTGAACTATGATGATTTTGTTAACGATGTAGCACCGGGAGACATGCTTTTGGTTGATGGTATGCTGAATTTTACTTTTCTTTTGGTTAAAATTTGAAATTATGTTTATATGCACCCTGAATCTTGATTTGCACTGTAGGTGGTATGATGTCATTCCTGGTGAAGTCCAAGACAGAAGAATCAGTGAATTGTGAAGTTGTTGATGGAGGAGAGCTTAAGTCTAGGCGACATTTGAATGTGCGAGGGAAAAGTGCAACATTGCCTTCTATCACTGGTTGGATTCCTGAATTGTCGATTAAATCTTTCACATTCAATTAAAGATGTTTTCTTTTATTTCTTTGTGATCTGTTTTCTTAACCGATATAGTTGTCTAAACTTATTTATTGCAGAGAAAGATTGGGAAGATATTAAATTTGGAGTGGACAATAAAGTTGACTTCTATGCTGTTTCATTTGTCAAAGATGCGCAAGTTGTTCATGAATTGAAGAATTATCTGCAAAGTAACTGTCCAAATACTTTTATCATATATACAGAAAATGCATCTGAATACCACACTTTTGTTCAATGCGTTTAAATATTTGTATCTAATATATTTGATATTGCAGGTAACAATGCAGATATACACGTTATCGTAAAAATAGAAAGTGCAGACTCTATCCCGAATTTGCATTCCATTATCACAGCATCCGATGGGGTAATTTCTTGAATCAATGAATGGAAACTTGATACTCAATAAATGCTCGTTCTCCTGGTTGTTTGCATCTTAAAAACACATTTGAAATTTATCAATAAGTTTCAGCTATCAATTCTTTTAAATTTTTAATATAGATAATTTAGGAAATGATATGTTAAACTTTTTTAGCATGGTTTAATATATTAGTCTTTATGTTTAATATAAAAATAACTCAAACGTCCAACACCAGTGTCTTCTTTTATTATGTAAATAATACATATTGAACTTACCTGATATTACTGACACAATTATCTTGATTTTAGGCAATGGTTGCAAGGGGAGATCTTGGTGCGGAGCTCCCTGTTGAAGAAGTTCCACTTTTGCAGGTACTTAACAACTTACACATTGCAATTGAATCCACTTAACAAGATTGATACATTAAGTTGAGTTCATTGAGTACGTTCTGAACTCTCTTTTATTTCAAAATGTAGGAAGAGATTATCCGGATATGCCGTAGCATGGGAAAGGCTGTTATTGTGGCAACAAATATGCTGGAAAGCATGATTGTTCACCCAACACCAACCAGAGCCGAGGTATCCGACATTGCCATTGCTGTTAGGGAGGGTTCTGATGGAATTATGCTTTCTGGAGAAACTGCTCATGGAAAGTAAGTTGTTGTGGCTATTGGAATTATACGGTTGGAACCTGTTTTGGACTGTACTAACATTTAGACCGTAGCATAATGTGATAAAGAGATCTCATATCCATGTAGGTTTCCTTTGAAGGCGGTGAAAGTTATGCACACTGTTGCACTTCGGACTGAGGCGACCATCTTGGGTAGCGCAGTGCCAGCCAATCTTGGTAAAGCTTTCAAGGTTAGGGAACATATACTTATTCATTCAGTTTCAGTATCCAGCTGCCAGCGTCTAGCATCTTATTCATTCAGGTTCAACTGACTCTGAAGTCTTTATTCCTGCAGAACCACATGAGTGAGATGTTTGCTTACCATGCAACCATGATGTCCAATACTCTTGGTACCTCAATCGTTGTCTTTACCAGAACTGGTTTCATGGCTATTCTATTGAGCCATTACCGACCTACTGGGACCATATTTGCCTTTACGAATGAGTGAGTTTTCATGTTACCTCTCACAAAGGCATTATTTGTGATACTGTTACTAAAAAAAAAAAAAAACTGGCGTACAGCATGAATATTGTTAAATTTGTAACTGTATCAGTTAAAATTTGCTGTGCAAGTTATTCATTAGCAAGTGCTTTGATTGCAATGCAGTAAGAGCATACAACGGAGATTGGCTTTGTATCAAGGTGTATGTCCCATATACATGGAGTTCACAGAAGACTCTGAAACAAGCTTTAGCAATGCCTTGACTGTGCTGAAGGTGCCTTTTTCCTGCGTATTTCCTAAATTTATGGCGACGTAGAGTAATTTAAATTAAAGTGTCATCCTTGAATCAATCTTGGCAGGATGAATATTTTTGTTTCTTTAACTTTTTCATAGGATATTTTTTGTTCTGATTTGGACTAACGTAGCCACCTATTCAACCATGCCAGCACTGATGATGCATTTTCCGGTGTTTTGTTTACAGGAGCAAGGACTGGTGAAGGCAGGAGAAGAGGTCGCACTCGTTCAAAGTGGGAGGCAACCTATTTGGCGGCTTCAGTCCACTCACAACATTCAAGTGCGCAAAGTTTAGGTGCAACGGAGATGGAAAGGCCGCCCTCGTAACATAGACTTCTTCATCTACAGTACCATAGTTTCAAATGATAGCTTTTGTGTTGTACTTCCAGCAGAATTGTCGTGATAGTTTCTTGCATTGGTTGATTTTTCTTCTATTGCATACTTTTGTGATCCTATACGCTTCTTTTTTGTATTCCGATTTTCCCCCTTTTAATTAATTGTGGTGTATGTTTTAGAACAGTAAGTTGTTAAAGCATAAATGTGGCAGTTGGAATGAAACGTCTAACTTTTACTCAGACTGTCTAAATTTTTTTAATAGGTTTGATTGAGGAAACAGGACGACCTTCTAATATCCGCCGTTACCGTTTGTCGCGTAGCCGTTGAACACTGAACAGGGTGTATCACATCGGTGGGACCGGTGTGGGATTAAGATTGAGAGAGTTCCATGTTTTTGTGAAAGATGTTCGGTAAGTATCGTGATTTTACAGATGTTTGAAATAAAATGTCGATATTTTTGTTGAAATATTCAAAAAATCAAGAACCTACATCTTATATCAGCAAGATATAATGAGTATCGACAATAATTATTGATGCACTACGTAAATTTTGTTATAATTCATTGCAGATTTGGAATTTTTGAAATTGTTTCCTCTTGTTTCAACTAAATCAGAATGAGTTGATATACACACTCTATAATTTTTATCGAAAACAACTAATATTGATATTTTTCATAAATTTGCATAAATTTACGTATCGATTTTATCACATGTACTAATATTTTAAACAGAGTCTACAGATGGTTTGGGCTTGAACTGGTCTCTACGGACTGAGGCAGATTTTTTGTTTATTAACGAAGTTCAAAAGTGAAACAAAAATTTTTAACAAGGACTTCATAAACAAGCTATTGGAAGCCTTATGTTTTACGCGCCTAGATTGCATTATTGGTTACTTAGTTAGCAGCATATATTTAGTGTGGACAAGCAAGCTAGGCATAGAACTTAATTAGATGTTGTCCAAAATGGATGAACTATAACCGTTGTCATACTGCCTGCTCCAGAGCATAACTCCTCCGTACTTGGGCGAATTCTTAATCGTTGGAAGAACTTGTGACTTGAGAGCATCAGCAGGAATAAATCCGCCGCTTGGAGCGGCCTCAGGAGCTGCCGGTAAACCCAAGAACACCTCGCTGGCAGGAACCGAGGCCCATTGTTTCCACCTGCTCAAAAGAGCGTCGGCATTACCGTCTGCATACTGGCATTGGGGGTTGTTGTAGAACTGAACCCAAACGTAGTCAAATAAGCCAGTTTGGATTGCGCCGTCTAGGTGAGCATCCGGGATTGGACATTGTGGAGCTGCGGCTAAATAGACCCTTTTTGCCTGTCCGTTGTGTCCGTTGAGTGACCTGGCGAGCTCATCATAGAACTGCCCACCACCTATAACAATAGCGAAATCAACGCCGTCCAAAACAGCGTCCCCAAGCGGGCGCGAAGCGGACTGACCACCTAGGAAGTTGTTCCAGATGTAATCAGCAACTTGCCTTGCATCATCAGCTGAAGTTAGATTGTAACTTCCGACAGCCCCTCCAATCGAGAGGAGGACTTTTATGTTTTGGGATTGGCAAGCTTTGATGTCGACGCTCAGCCGGTGCAAGTACTACTGCTGGGGTCGCAGTGGCCGGCAAGGTTTAGGACAGGGGCTTGGTTGTTTCCGAAAGTCGTGAGGAAAGCTATGTTAACAAACTGGTAGTTGCCCGAGTTGCAAGCATCTGCTAGGGTTCCTTCGTTGCCATTTTGGCCCCAATACGTTGCGATTCCGGCGGCTTGACAGGACTTGCATGAAGAAATGAGGATCAAGAGGGACAGCGTTAGGGCTAGGGTTTGTGTTTTGGTTGCCATTTTTGTCATGTGTTGTTTTGGTTGTTGCTCAAAGTGCTTGGGAGGGTACATGTATTTATAGGTGCAGGGGACTTGTCGGTGAAGGTTTAGGGGAAGAGAAGTATAACAGACGTGTCCTTGCAGGTACAAAATGGGTGCCAGTCTTCTGCTTGGATCCGCGTCAACCAAGTTAGGGCCCGTTTAGTCCAAGTTTCACTTGACAACTTAGAAATTTGTCAATTAAGTTAGGTCGTGTTGCACCTTCTTTTTTCCAAAAACCACTCACAAGCGCTTTTAATATTTTTCGCAAGAATGCAAGTGCTTTTAGAAAAAACACTTGAGGTGCTTAAACCATCTCCAACTCTTGGGTTAAAAATCAAATTTTTAACCCGAAATAGTTTTCTGCTCCAACCCTTCTGGCCTAAATTTTTAGCCCGAAATTATTAAAGAATGAACTTAGGCTAATTTTTTTTCTTAAATTTACTTTAAAAAAAAAATGTAAACTACATAAATTAATTTTATGAACATTTTAATCTAAAAATATTTAAATTCCGATAATTATTGAAAAATCACTAAACCTCTTTATTGAACTTTTTTCATTGAACTTTTAGCCCGTCCCTCCAGCCGCCGTTGCAGTTTTCATGGAACTTTTCAATGATTTTATCCCACAATTTTTATTTTGATTCACACCAACTGCACCATCTTCGCTAACAGAAACTCATACCAAGCATAAAGCAACATCTTCCTCACAGGTCCAATTACGACCTCTAATATGCTCTCTTGCCATGTTGAACAATTTTGAAATGGAAAGAAATGGTAGAAAGAAAAATTGGAAGAATTGTAGGAGAAAATTGAGTTTTGTGTGGATGTTTGAACAAATACATAGGTATTTATAGAATTTTTTGGTGAATTTTGAGTTAAATAATTTTTCTTTATAACTATTTTAGCCGTTGGATTTAAATTTGGGTTGTTAGATTTGATTATATTCGTTTTCAGCCGTCGAATTCAATGTATTTTAAAATTACATTTTTTTTTAAAAAACAAAATTTGAATCTGGACTGTTGGATCAACCAACGGTCCAAAAAGCATAGTCGTTGAATGATAAAAAGAGTTGTTGGGCTCATAATGGTGGCCGACATAGGCCCTGACAGCGGGTCCCACCCTATTGGGCGATGAAGGGCTAAGCTCGCGTGGGGTGAGTTGGGCGTGTGATTGGGCTGAGAGTACGCTGAGAAAGAGAGAGTTCACGCCTTTCTGGGCTATTTATTGGGGGGTATTCGGCATTGGTTTGGCTTTTTGCTTTTAACTCAAATATTTGGGTTAGGTTGGGTTTTTTTGGGGGGGGGGGGGGGGGGTTGAATAAGTGGGGAAATTTAGCAAATAGTCCAAGGTTGGGTGTGGTCTTAGTGTGTGCTTTTTTTAAAAGCACTTTTAAGTGTTTTTCAACCTAAAAACACTTGTTTTAAAGACACTTCTAACAGACACATAATGGAAAATTACTTCCAGAGAGATTTCAAAACTAAAAGCTAAATAGTTATTAAGCGTCACCTTAACCGCTTAATTAGGTGAAATAAAATATCAAATTTAACAAACAATCTGATGAACGTCATAGCTATATGTATAGTCAGTAGATGATAATCATGAAACAATACGTGGAGAATCAACACAGCCTTATCATGGCCAAAATTTGTCTGTGTGCTAGAAATACGGTCCGGTACATTAAAAGTGTCATAATAGAATTGGTTGGAAATTCATTCAGCTACAACTCACTCTGAAGTCTTTATTTCTGCAGAACCACATAGTGAGATGTTTGCTTACCATGCAACCATGATTTCCAATACACTCTTGATACCTCAGTCGTTGCCTTTACCAAAACGGGTTTTATGGCTATTCTATTGAGCCATAACCGACCTACCGGGACCATATTTTCCTTCACGAATGAGTGAGTTTTCAATTTACCTGTCACAAAGGCATTTAGTTAAAATTTGTAACTGTATCAGTCAAAATATGCTGTGCAAGTTCTATTCATTAGCAAGTACTTTGATTGCCACGCAGTAAGAGCATACAACGGAGATTGGCTTTGTATCAAGGCGTATGTCCAATATACATGGATTTCACAGAAGATTCTGAAACAAGCTTTAGCAATGCCTTGACTGTGCTGAAGGTGACGTTTTGCTGCATATTTCCTAAATTTATGGCGACGTAGAGTAATTTAACTTAAAATGTCATCCTTGAATAAATCTTGGCAGGATCCATAGTTTCGCTTCTTTTAACTTTTTCATAGGACATTTTTGGTTCTGATTTGGACGAACATATAGCTATGCTATTCAATCATGCCAGCACTGAAGGTGCATTTTCTGGTGTTTTGTTTACAGGAGAAAGGATTGGTAAAGGCAGGAGAAGTCGCACTAGTTCAAAGTGGCAGGCAGCCCATTTGGCGGCTCCAATCCACTCACAACATTCAAATGCGAAAAGTTTAGGAGCAACGTAGATGGAAAACTCTCCCTCGTAACATAGATTTCCTTCGTCTACACTACGATAGTTTCAAATGATAGCTTTTGTGTTGTACTTCCAGCGGAATGTCGTGATAGTTTCTTGCTTTGGTTGTTTTTACTTCTGTTGCACACTTTTGTGGTCCTATCTGCTTCTTTTTGTATTCCGATTTCCCCCTAATTAGTTTGGGTGTATGTTTTGGAACAGTAAGTTGTTTAAGTATAAATTTGGCCGTTTGAGTGAAATGTCTTAAATTTTTACTCAAACTGTCTAAATTTTTTTAGTAGTTTGATTGAGGAGACAGATTGTCACCTTATAATATCCGCAGCATATACCGTTTGTCGCGTGGCCGTTGAACGTTGACTAGGTTAGGATCAAGATTGAGAGAGTCCGTAATTTTATGAAAGTTATTTTATAGATAGCGTGATTATACAGATCGTAAGCGCTTGAACTGGTCTCCACGGAATGAGGTATTTATTAACTAAGGTCAAAAGTCAAACAAAAATTGTTGATCGGGACTTCACAAACAAAATTAAACAACATTCGTTTGTCTAATTATCAAACCGACAATATCTTATTAAAGTGCTATTCACACATTCTTTTTTATCTTTTGCACATTTCTCTCAATTTTCAGCGGTTAGAATGAATTGAAGAATATCAAATAACAAAAATTAACAGAGAATATGTGAAAAATAAAATTAAGTGCATAGATAGCACCACTCTTTCTTATTAAGATAATGACATCCTATTTATTTGATATAATATTTTAGGGACTAACCAAGACATTGAGTTACAAAAGTCAAACTCTTCCGATGATGGGAGAACTAAATCCACTTTTATCATCACAAAACTTAACATCACACCACCATACTTCGACGACTTCTTTATCACCAGTAGAATTTCCAAATTCAGCGAAGCAGCTGGAATATACCCACTTACGGCCGCCTAGGAGCTGCCGGCAACCCCAAAAACATCTTTCTAATACAATGATGTCACTTGGCGTTTTAACAAGATGGGAGACTTTGGAGGGACTTTATTGGGTACTTCCGAGTACTCGGTACTCGATGCATTTTAACCGTTAGACTTTTGTTTAAAAATATAAAAATCAAAATATAACAGTTAAAACATTCAAAGTACCCGTAGTACCGCTAAAATTTTTTGAGACATTGAATGCAATCCCTCCAAAAAATTAATAGGTTATACAGTAGTACCACTTCAACCGTGACACTTTCATTCAAAGGCTAGTTTTATACTAATATGTGATACTTTCATTCCATATTTGAGAGAGCCTTTGAATAAGTATAAAGCTAGCCCTTACAATATGAACTAGCTAGCCTCCATACACACAGTGCCGGCCAATCATGTAAAACCATTGATAATGATACAAGACAATTTATTTGGACCTATAATTTCTTTTCATAACTACATCATATCGCCCTTTATGTAAAACTATATTTTATTCAATTTCAAAAATTAGTACATGCAATAACATCTTTTATCGTAAAAAATTCGATGAATTCTTCAGTTTATCAGAAATACGGAGTGATACATCATATACCATAATATAAATGGAGAAAATTTTATTTTTTAAATGTGCATCTATTTATATAATATGTGTTGTACCACCGAATTTCGAATCAGTAAAGATCTCTCCAAAAATACATATGCATGTTTTATTCAAAAGGTAAGGCATGATGCGTCATCATCCCTAACACACTTTATTATAAGTAGCAGCATCCATTGAGGCAGAGAAGTTAATTTATGCTGTCCTTAATGGATGCACTATAACCGTTGTCATACTGCCTGCTCCAAAGCATAACTCCTCCATACTTGGCCGAATTCTTAATAGTTGGAAGAACTTGTGACTTGAGAGCGTCAGCAGGAATAAAACCGCCGCTCGGAGCGGCCTCAGGAGCTGCCGGTAACCCCATGAACACCTGGGTGGCCGGAACCGATGCCCATTGCTTCCAACTGTTCAAAAGAGCGTCGGCATTACCGTCTGCATACTGGCATTGGGGGTTGTTGTAGAACTGAACCCAAACGTAGTCAAATAAACCGGTTTGGATAGCGCCGTCTAGGTGAGCATCCGGGATCGGACATTGTGGAGCTGCGGCTAAATAGACCGTTTTTGCCTGTCCGTTGTGTCCGTTGAGTGACCTGGCGAGCTCATCATAGAACTGCGCACCACCCGCCTCAATGTCGAAATCAACGCCGTCCAAAACCGCGTCCCCAAGCGGGCGCGAAGCTGACTGACCACCTAAGAAGTTGTTCCAGATGTAATCAGCAACTTGCCTTGCATCATCAGCTGAAGTGAGAGAGTAACTTCCAGAGGCCCCTCCAATCGAGAGGAGGACTTTTATGTTTTGTGATTGGCAGGTTTTGATGTCGGCACTCAGCCCCGTGCAAGTACCACTAGCGGGGTCGCAGTGGCCGGCGAGGTTTAGGACAGGGGTTTGGTTGTTTCCGAAAGTAGTGAGGAAAGCTATGTTAACAAACTGGTAGTTGCCTGAGTTGCAAGCATCTGCTAGGGTTCCTTCGTTGCCATTTTGGCCCCAATAGATCGCAATTCCGGCGGCTTGGGAGGACTTGCATGAAGAAAGGAGGATCAAGAGGGACAGAGTTAGGGCTAGGGTTTGTGTTTTGGATGCCATTTTTGTATGTGTTTTTCCCGGTTGTTGCTCAAAGTGCTTGGGAGGGGACATGTACTTATAGGTGCAGGAGACTTATTGGTTAAGGTTTAGGGGAAATAAAGTATGACAGACGTGTTCTGCGGGTAAGAAATTGGTGCCAGTCTTCTGCTTGCAACCGCGTCAATCAAGTTAGGGCCTGTTTACTTAGTCCAAGTTTCACTTGACAACTTAGAACCTTCAATTAAATTTGGTCGTGTTGAAAATGCATTTTTCAAAACCACTTTCACACATAAGCGCTTATTATATTTTCATAAAAATGCAAGTGGTTTTTTTTTAAAAAAAAAAAAACACTTAAGGTGCTTGGCATGTGTTTTTTCAGAAAGCACTTAAGTGTTTTTTCAATCTAAAAGTATTAATTTTTTTATGATTTCACAGCTCTTTTAGTTGTTTTAAAGGCATTTCCAACTGATATTTTATGAAAAATTACTTCTAGAGAGAATTATAGCATGCTAATTGAGAGTTTCCGAAACTAAAAAGCCATCAAATTTGACAAAAAAAATATGATGAGACAATACGTGGAGAGTCAACACAGCTATATCATCACCAAATTTTTTTAGTGTGCAGGAATACGGTCCAATACAACAAGTGTTACAATAAAATTGTTTGAATTTTTTTTTTTTAAGTTTCCAACCAATTATATTATTACACTTAATGTACGGGGAAGACGAGAATGGGTAAGGGGGGGTTGGGGAAGAGTTTTTTTTTTTTTTTTTCTTTCTTCTTCTTCCTTTCTTTCTTTCTAGGCTGGGTGTTGGGGGGGAAGGGGGTGGAGGTGGGGGAAGACAAAAGTGGGTGGGTTTTTTTAATTTTAATTTTAATTTAGGGTTTAGGGTATCATTGAAAAATCTCTACTTATCATCCCATCACATCACATGAACGTTTTGGAAAGTTCGTAGATAGAAACCAAATGGAATATGCTTTTAACCAAAATTGCTGGCTGCTATATACATCTTGGATTTTAGCTGAGGATGGCTATTGTCCAAGGACCTCGATCTAATCACGGTGCTTTAATTTCGCAGTCGGAGAAAAACTTTCAAATAAAATTAGGGCACATTTATGAAGTGTTTTTAAATGACTGAAAATATTTTTAGAAACAATTTTTCTAAAAGCATTTTCAATCATTTAAAAAAATTTCTTAAACGAGTTTAATTACTCATGTATGGGGCAACATTTAGCGAGTAATGGTTCTCATGAATTGGATTGTGGTGATGTGAAAATGGGTTTGGTTTAGTTTAGTTTAGAGTTTAGACTCGCATGTTTACTATCCGGTGTAGGCAAATGGAATGTCAAATTTTTCGGAGAAATTTCAATAGAACTGCCACTTAGAGCAACATATATTAAAGAGACCAATGTAGGATTGGGGGAGATTAAAATACATGAATTCTCGTGTTTTTGTAAAATGTGATCTAAAAATAATATAAGCATGTGCCCTGCAAACAACGTGATCGGATTACCTAATCGAAGTTTCTCTAGTGTGGACAAATTTGAGAGGGGTGTGACGGTTCCGAAAAATAAAAAATCACACATTTTTATTAAAAAAAATTTGTTCGAATTCGGGGGAGAGAAGTATGACAGATGAAGGTTTAGGGGACTTGTCGGTGAAGGTTTAGGGGAAGAGAAGTATGACAGATGTGTCTTGCAGGTACAAAATGGGTGCCAGTCTTCTGCTTGGAACCGCGTCAACCAAGTTAGGGCCTGTTTAGTCCAAGTTTCACTTGATAACTTACAAATTTGTCGATTAAGTTAGGTCCTTTTGGAAATTCATTTTTCAAAAACCACTCATAAGAACTTTTAATATTTTTCGTAAGCATGCAAGTGTTTTTAGAAAAAACACTCGAGGTGCTTCGCGTGTGCTTTTTCTAGAAAGCATTTTTAAGTGTTTTCTCAACCTAAAAACACTTGTTTTAAAGACACTTCTAACAGACACATAATGGAAAATTACTTCCAGAGACAAATATAGAATGCTACTAGTAAATTTTACCCGCACGTTGTTGCGGGAGCAAAACTATAACTATAGACTAAATTTTTAACATATAAATAACCAAAGACTAAGATAAACATTAAGGAGAAAATGGAGCAAATATTTTTACAAAGCTGTCTAAGTTTATGTAACTTACAGAAAAGACATTGTGAAATGCCTTGTCATTGATTTACAAAAATGGCTAGTCTAGTATTCCCCATTGACAGTTACATGAACATAGAATATCCCATAAGAGCACATTTTCCTTGAAGCAGTCACTGCATATAAAACAATTTGGATCATCAGGGAAAAAAAAAAAAAAAAAAAAAAGGTTACAACTGAAACAAAATGTCAATACAGTTGTAATTAATTAGCAGTAATACTTTACATGAATGAATTGGACAGACGATGGCAAACTATGATATCAATAAATGAAAAAAAAAAAATTCAACAGCCATCATTTATATACAGGAATAATAAAAATCCATTTGCATTAGCTCTGGATCAAGATCAACTCAAGGCTACAAAAATTTTAAACCCGAGATTCAGATCGCATTATTCAACCCCAAAAGCCAAATAGTACATTTAACCGACTTAACACGATGGATGGCATAAATCAAATCTAGGATATCATACTCAACCTGCATTGCAGAAACGAACACTGTGGCTTATATACATTCTCAATGTCCTCAGCAAGTCCTCTCTCCAATGGCTCAGCAATCTACAAAAGGTTTTTAGAAGATTATAATTTAAAAACTGAATCACATAAAATTTCTGAAATTAGGTTGCTTCTTACCATAGTTATTTTATTCTTCTTATTGGATGTTTCAGCAAAGCATTTGATTGACAAAGGCTACACATCTTCACAAAATGAAACAACTGGATCAACCTACAAACAAAAGCATATCCATCAAGAAAAGAAGAAAATAAAATTTTACGTTCTTAAGGGGTGGAAAAATTACTTTAAAAAGAAACAACGTGAAGAGAGGATGAGGATTGGGAGCAAACAATTACCTTGACTTCTACTTCCAAGTAAAGCTCTCTTAGGTCCTTCATTATTCTGACATAGCCTATAACACATTAATTTATGTTAAAAAAAACCTAAAAATTAAGCACCAAATGTTTCACTTCAAATTCCATAAAAATCAAACCTCTGAAACAAAAAGTTATTAGGCTTTCCCTTGTGAGGAGGAGTTCAAAACTCACAGTTCTGCAAGATGGGCATCGGCCGTAGATTCGATTGGTCTAGGATTTCACATTCGTTTTCTGCCCTTTGCAAAAATCACAGAGCAGCCACCTTCTCCCATTGCAATCCTCGCAGAGAATCGCCACGTCAGCCTTGGAAAAAACTGGAATCAAAGCAAAAACATGTAAAAGGGCGGTGCCATACCTGTGGAGCTCGAGCATGGAAAGGCTCTGGTTCCATGCAAAACAACAGAAAAAACGTTTACAGATCTAGCTTTACAGAGATGCACAACCAGTCGAAAAACGGATAATGGAAACAAAATCCCTAAACAAACGAAAACCAAATTCACTCAAGAATCCGATAGTAGCAAGGTCTAGTTCTCTAGTCATCAGCAGAAATCGCCATGTCGGAAAATCGAGCATCTGAACACATAAACACAACAGTCAAAATTAAAAATAAAATAAAAAAACCAAAAACCAAAATTTAAACATAAGTTGTATTTGCAGAGCAAAGGCCACCCAAAAATAAATACCCGAGCACTCGAGCTGAGTTTTGAAAGAGAAGTCGAGCTAGAATCCTAGAAGCCGTCGCCGGCCAACTGAATAATCAGAGATAAGGCAACGATGAGTGGGCATTTTAGATGGAGAATCAAGCGACTGGATATTTCGATTTGCCGTTGGAGATTGGAACGATCTGGATGAATTTTGGTTTCGGGATTCTAAGGTTGGATTAACGCAGGTTTTTTTGTTCATTTCAGGAGAGATGAAGCAAATGAAAGCAATTAGAAGCAATTGGAAGCCACTGGAAGCAAATAGAAATCCTGACACTACGGGCCAAATGATCCCGATGACCAACACGTGGAACTAACACGCTGCAGCAAATAAAAGTGGAAGAAGCTGGAACCCTAGAAAAGACAACACGCACGCACAGACGGAAAGAAAAATGAGAGAGGGGCAAAATGGCCAATTCACCTTTCAACCCCACTAAAGCTGAAAAAACATGAAGAGAAAGAGGGGCACAACTGGTGGAGCACTGTTAATAAACAGTGATTTCCACCGGGTTTAAGTATATAGATAATACATATATATATATATATATTTTTTCTGCCACTCTGCATTTATTATCTCTGTTTTGAGGAATGGGCCTGCGTTACTACCACCAGGCAATGGTAATGGCATCCCCCTTTTCCTCTGCCTCTTTCTCAAATGGAAGGGAATGATCAACACGTGGCATAATGCAAATCAAAAGCAATCAGAAAAGGCTTTAAATACTGGACTTGAGAGTGATAGGAGGAAAAAGCACGGATAATGGACAGGTAGATATAAGAAACAGTGAGAGAGAAATAAAATAATAACATGCATAGAAAAGAAAACCCACTTTCAGAGAGAGCTGCAACACCCAGTGAGGGAGTTCTTTAGAAAAACAATTATATATATAATAAACAAAACAATCACCAATTGTTTTACCCCATGGATAAACACATTGGTTTTTGAACAAAAAAAAATGATAAAAAAATGGACTGCAGGACAAAACAATTGATTATAGTTGTCAGTAGTTAACTCCAGCCACATAGTTTGTGGCGCAAAAAGGGTAAAAATTATAAAAATAATTGTTCTAGGGAAAAAATGATTAAAAAATGTGTTTGGGTTTTGAAAAGCAAAGAACCGCAGATGATGGAGAACGGCACCAGAAAGCGGAAAGGGCAAAATGGCCAACTCACTGCATAATTCCAGAAAAGGGCAAAAAATTGCTCAGCAAGCGAGGGACAAAATCGGATGGGCACTGTTAATGAACAGTGCCAATCCGCTGAGCTTTAGTATATATAGAATTTGAGAGATTCCGAAACTAAAAGC